TTTTCGCCTTCTGAATTCCATAGGAAATATTCCCTCCATCCTCCCATCTTCTTCTACCGCTGTAAAATATTTCAGTCCGCTGCTTTTTAATATCCGGTCTTGTCTGTTCTTTTTTTACCTGTTTCCGATTTACCGTTCCTCTCTACGTTATTTCTCGTTTCACTTAATCTACCGTATAATTTACTTTACCGTTACATACTTTCTGTAAACTTTTTGATAAATTCTCAGACATCTCCCGTTTAGATATTTCCACGGTAATAATATCACTACCATTTCGCGTGAATTTATCATCTTATTTGACTGTTATTAAAATTTACAATTTTCCTCTTCATAACTCGATAAAATTATTATCATTATTATCATTATTTTTAAATTTGTACACTCCTCAGAAAAAATTCTTCACGCGCTCTTTCTTTATTCAATCTCGTCGTAACGAACTTTATTTAAGAGATATCAGAGCACGCATTCAAAGTTAGTTAATTTCAATTCAGCGAAGCGTTACTTTTTTGACAGGCGAGACTCGCACTTTCCTCACGGCTTAATGACGCTTAATGTTTCGCTCGAATTTTAAACGGATTAGCGCGGTCGCGATGAGAGATAAGCAAAGTGGAACGTTCGTTCCATCGATAGATTATCGCGCGCTCTCGGCACACATAGTCAGTCCGTAAAAGGCGTCAAGTGACAGAACCGTGACCACCAGTTAAAACTGTCTCCAGACTTGCACTTCCGGCCTGAAAACGCGTCTGGAGTACGGGATCCGGTTCTTACGTGACAGCAAGGTACGAGGTCGCTCGTGGTAGAATGCGATTTAACTTTTCGAAAGTAGGTACGGTCGACGCGAATAGGTGATATCTACTGGCGCGTGTTCATTTATCTGACAAACGACAGCAGCTGCCACTCAATGTCACATGGAAAAAATACTTCTCTTAATTCCCGCAATAAACGGCGTGTCGAAATTATACGCCTCACTTTTCACGTTTCATTCAAATCCTCCATAATACCGAAATAAGAATATGTATTTATAAAAGTGGGTTTGCGATCGTGAGGCGAGTTTCGAGGACAAATTACCGAATTCGAATCTTGACGGTCGTGTTTAAGCGAGATGATGTTTGCCTAAAAAAAACCTTTTAGATCTCTACTAAAAAAAAAAAATTAATTTTTGCATATCTATTTGAAGAAAATAACTGCATATAGAGCCATTGTTTATATAACATTGTTGGGCAGACTACATTCGCTTTGGAGGTCACAAAGATTAGCTCTCCATGAGAAACTGTATTCTGCGCGACCGTATAAATAGCCAACGATAAAACGGCACCATTGCTGCCGTATCATAGCACGCACCGTAAAATTAGATATTTGCTTCATTAATGATGCGCGCCGAAAGGTCAGAGGGAGCAGTTTGAACTCCCTTCAGAAATGTCAATTTGCGTTGTTACTGGTTGCTCCAGAGATATCGCGTAACCGTGAATCCAACTTTTTCTTTTTCTCGCTATCGCGAAATCATCATGCTATTCATTTTCCTTTAAGTCTTACTGTAATATTATACACATTGAGAGCAAAATTTGTCTAAATCATATAATTGGAGAATTTGTTTCACATTATTTTGTATAAAAGATATCTTTTTAATTTTATTCACCCTGTATAATTTTCAAATGGATGTTTTGTTGTACAACGAAATACAATTATATTTAAAATTTTTCTTAAGTACAAATAAAATTAAAAAATATAAATTACATAATATACACAATAATATGAAAATAAGTTAAGAACCAGCACCTCGCGAAATTCTGCGCCGATTTACATAATCCACAGTGCTGTCAACGTATTTATTAAAGCATAAAAATCGGCGAACAAAAAATACAATAGAAATGACGAAAATCTCTGACAATCCGATAAAAAAATCGACAAACATAGCGCGAAGAAAAAAAACATGACGTGCTCTCAAAAAGCATCTTGAGATTATCGGGTTCGTTAACTTCGTCTCTTTTTTCCTCCCCCCCCTTCTCTCTCTCTCTCTCT